ATGAATCCAAATCTCATTCATTTCGGATGAGTTAAATGATAATTTCCAACTAAAATTCGTTGCAGAAAAGTGACATTACATGTTTACTTTGTTTCTTTTAAATTTCTGGTACCTCTGTTGAGGCATTGAAATGGATGACTACTAGGCGGAGACCGAAGAATATCTTACCTACTTTGTTACATTCCTTGGCCTTATGGGATAGGTTTTGGGCTAAAGAAGGGATCGTCTCCTCTCATACCCCCCTTGCACCACTGTTCAACAATGTATGCTTTCCACCGGGATTACAGCCTAAAGCTTTTCAATGGTGGGTGGATAAAGGCTTATATAGGATTATGAGTACGAGTACTCATGCAAATACTCGGTATCGCGGCCGATACCGATGCTTGTATCGGTATCGGTGCATCCCTACTTGAAATCATTACATATTCCTGAAAGTGGTACTCCGTTATTGACACACTTTGAGCGGTGGTGAACAGGGGGTCTGATCAACGGGGGGGGGATCTCCTTAATATATGCTGTATTACTTGGGCCATTCACGAAACTAGCTTATATGACTGCATGGGAAACTGATCTTGGTGTAGCCCTCTCTATTGAAGAATGGCAACAGTGCACTATGAGGTTGATGCTGGGAGTTCCCAATGTCTCCCTAGCAGAGGCCAACTACAACATTTTTTTCCAGATGGTACCTTGTTCCAGCTAGGCTGGCAACTATGTTCCCACGGGAAGAGCCCTTTATGTTTTAGAGGATGTAATCAGCAAGGTACTATGATCCATATCTGGTGGCAGTGCCCCAAAATGCTCCGCTTCTGGAATACGTTTTTTGCCCTGTTTTCTGAGATCCTCCGGTTTCATATCCCGAGAGATCCGCAATACTTACTCTTGAACAAACTGGTTCCAGGTATTTCAAGAGCACAGGGCAAACTCTTGTTCTTCTTTTCTTTAGCAGCAAAGATCTCAACTGCTCGGTCCTGGAAATCAGAAAGGGTACCATTCTCTATGGTTCTATCCAAATTAAACAGGATTATGATCCATGAGAAGCTGTATAGTATATTGCAAGATAGTTACATCAGCTTTGAAGAAGTATGGAAACCATGGCTGATGCATCAAGAGATTTCAAATCTGTCGGTCATCCTGCCCAATTCCCCGGGTTAGTGAAGGCTTTAGATATCAGGAATGTATGAGGCTGAAATTTTTCTTTTTGTCTTATTCTTCTTTTTTTCTTTTGTTCTCCCGCTTTTATTTTTACTTTTTCTTTCTTTTCGTAATTAAATACTGTTTCCATTTAACGTTCCCTCTGGTGGGAGTTGGGAACTACCCACCTAGAGGGAATTAGCATGCATAGATTAAGGGATACATAATGGCATTTACAATGGCATGAGAAAATAATCGAATATATATTTTTATCCCCTAAGTCAAGGTTGGAGTACCTAGGGTATAAGAATAAGTATCAAGGGCTTCTGAAATGTTTGAACTCTATAGAGAAGTCAGGGTAGGGGAAGAAGCAATGTATCTCATGCTGTGCTGTTGTTGAAAGCTTATTGATTGCTAGACAATGCCTTTTATGATATATATGTTATATAATTTTATGACCTTATTTCTGTGTGCGATTAAAAGTTTATAAGCATGGAAACCATTAAAAAACTTTGAAAACTAAATTTCTGACACCGCAAACAAACAAACAAACAAAAAAGAAAAAGTGTGGGGTTCCCTGGCAATTAATACCAGACCATTTAGGTCTGGTAGGAATTTTAAGGGTATTCCTACCCAAAAAAAATGCAAGAAGAAAACCCGTGGGGTCCCCCCTAAAATCCCCTACCAGACCCTTACTCGGTGGTTGTGGGGGTCTGTGGGTAGGGGGGCTCATCTGCATCTGGGTACCCCCTTTCATAAAGGGGGCACCCAGATGCCACCCCGCCTTGTGAATGAGTAAGGGGTACTTGTACCCCTACTCATTCACTAAAGGGTTAAATAAAATGTAAACAAACAAACACAAACAACACCTTAGAAAAAAGTTCCTTTAATTGAACAAAAAGCAAAACACAAATTTATGACAACATTTAAAATACATTTAAAAAAAAGTCCCACTAAGTCATTCCAGCGTTGGCCGATAATTGAAAAAAAAAATACAAAAACGGGTAGTGGGCACAAATAAACAAAGTCTGCTATTGGTTATTTAAAATAGAAATACCCAATAGTAAGGCTGGCTAATGCTCTGCCCACTGCCTGATGTCAGTTACAGAGGAGCGGACCTGAGAGAGAACTTTCTCTGTCAGGTCCACTCCCCTGCAGGAGCAATGGCTGTTATTGCTATGGCTATTTTAATTTGCAATAGCAGGCTGGTTATTGCTCCGCCCACTGCCTTCTGTCAATCAGCAGAGAAGCAGACTTGAAAGAAAACTTTCTCAGGTCCGCTCCTCTGGGACTGACAGAAGGCAGTGGGAGGCATCCATTCTGCTATTGGCTTTTTCAAAGTGTAATAGCCAATAGCAAACTGGCTATTGCTCCGCCCACTGCCTTCCATTAGTCGCTGTTTTTATTAAAAATGACTATTATTTCTGTGAACAGTTAAACACTTTTGCGTATTCTGTGACAGCTGTCAGATTCTTTACATGCGGGGTGGAAGTGTCCTCAAAGAAGCAGCAGCTGTAACAGAATAACACAGATCTCTCAGCTTCTTTCATTATTTATGTTTTGTAACAATATTGGGGGGAATTTATCAAAACTGGAGCAGACTTAAACTGGATCAGCTGTGTATGGCAACCAATCAGCTTCTCTCTTCAGTTTGTTCAGTGATGATTTGAAAATGAAAGAGAGAGGCTGATTGCTTGCCATGCACAGCTGCTCTAGATTTTGTCTGCTCCAGTTCTGATAAATTCCCTTCATTGTGTTTTTACTTGAGATACAAGTGCAGAGAAGCCAGAAAGCGATAAATGACAGCTCTCCCGCTTGTTGTGTTTCGTTTCCGCATGAAATTCGGATGTATCAAACATTCGGATTCGTTCAGATTTGTTATTTCTGTCATTTGGAAATCTGTATGCATCTGAATGTTCGAATTTAAAGAAATTCCTACAAATTTCAATTCGGAACGAAACAAATTGCAAATTTCTAGTGAATCATTCTAGAATTTAGATGAACAATATTCTCAAGCCCCACAACACAGTAGTGAGGGGCAACAGGCATGAGTTCTACAACGATCGTTTAAATAAGAACTCCAGGCAGAAATGTTATTAATCCTTGCGGTGTTGCCTAGGGTTAAAAAAAAGTTATACTCACCTGGACCTCCGCGCTGGCAGTGCTCTCTCTAGCCTGCAAGGTTGATATGTCCCTCAACATCCTCACGTCTTATACACTGTGTTGGACGCGGTGACTCAAGGACTCCTAGACTGCTGTAGTGGAGGGGGAGAGACGCTTAAAGGACCGGTCTAAGAGCTGGCTGGCTCAGAAACTAAGGTGAGTATAACTTTTTTTTACCCTAAGCAAAAACAGGCAGTTTACCTCTGCAGTGCGGGGGTAGCACCACTGGAAGGGTTAACAACATTTCTGATCCAAGTTCTTCTTTAGGATTGTTTAAGGTAACTATATCTTTTTGCCTTGGAGTTATAGCAGAAGGCTGAACCACCTTAGACAAAAAATGATCCAAAAAGGATAGGTTAGACTCCTCATCATCCTCAGCTGTGTGTGCAGAAGCAGCTGCAGACATATTAGAGACAGATTCTGGAGTTAAAAGCATAGACAGATGCTTGTGGCCTCTTTGTTCCGAGTTAGCAAATAAATGAGAACGCTGCATACCACCCTGGAGCGGTTAGTGTATCGTGAACTGGAAAGGCCTGCAGGACCAGTGACCTTGCGTTATGATACACCATACTGCTAGTATGGAAAAGTGAGATATTTCAGAAAGGGTACTCCCAAGCTGCAGAAGCAGGAGAGGTTATGTGACTTTCAGGCAGAAATGAGGAGGACTGAGCCTGGGACCCTTGTGAGGAGGCGGTAGTGATCCTTCTCAGGCTGAATGCTGGAGAGGCAGAGGAATGGCACTCGCACACAAAGGACACGGTGCTGCAGGTGCACTGATAGGGTTCACGTGACACATTCACAATGATGTCCATTCTCCTAGAAGAAAAGACTTCTATTCTCCTAGCACACTAGCAAGAAACAACGTCCATTCTCCTAGCACACTAGCAAGAAACAACGTCCATTCTCCTAGGACACTAGCAAGAAACAACGTCCATTCTCCTAGGACACTAGCAAGAAACAACGTCCATTCTCCTAGAACACTAGCAAGAAACAACGTCCATTCTCCTAGGACACTAGCAAGAAACTCAGGCTCCGTTCACACATTAACACTAAACATAAAAAATAATTATTTCCAATGTCTGTTCACACTATGGCGACGTCCGCGCGGTACAAAAAAAGCACTTCCCCCTATAGTAATAGTCGCAAATGCGCGGAATCCGTGCATTTTAAAGTTTGTGTGCTTTTGTTACGGTACCGCTATGTGTAAATGGAGACTTAAGTATTATGGGAGACTAACTAACTGACTAACAGTTTTTTTGCTGCTAATTTCTAATTCTCCTATAGGTGGCAGTATAACCTACATGCCTCAGAATTCCTTCTGACCTTGTGTCCCTTAATAAACAACATTTATGTTGTCAACTAAAATTGACCTAAACTCAAAAAGTGCAGATTTGCTATATTATAGGGAACATTTAGAAATGTTAATACAAGCACCCTGAAAATTCACCTTTTGGCCAAATTCCTGAAAAATAGCAGTGCACTGCGTGGTATGCGAGTGTGCCTATGGCTACAGCCTCAAAAGACAGTACACTTTTTTTACTAATATTTTACTGTTGAATAAGAAATCTTAAATAACAACAAAGCAAAAAAAGTAAATGAAAAAGTAACAGTCAGATGAGACTGGAGTGTATCTTTCATGTAAATACTTCATCCAACACTATACTCCATAAATGATAAACTACATGTATAGTTTTTATATTCTTTAGTTACAAGAAGGCTTCGGATGGGATCCCTTCAAGCGTCTCTTTGCAGATTACCAGACAATGTCAAATGTCAGCAACAACAAGACAGATAAGATGAATCTTTGGGCAGAGAAGTTCTCTCAAGCTGTCAATAAGAACTTGGCTCCGTTCTTCAAGTCCTGGGGGTGGCCCATTGACCAGACAAGTGAGAAGTTATCTGCATTGCCTACCTGGGAGGAAGATCCTATGAAGAAGTACACCAGTTCTAAGTAATTATAAAGGTATGTAGAGAATCCACACTGTAACCTACTGTAAAAAGCTGATTTTTGCTCTTGTGCAATATAAAACAAAAACCCAGATATTATTTTCGCTCCAGTAACCATTTTATAGCTAAAACATTCTGTATTATCTTTTCTTTTTGAGACTTATATCAATAAGAGTATTTGAATAAAGAGAACTGGAACTGGTGCAAAGTGGGCAAACTGCTTCAGGTCTGCAGGTACCTGGATGCCTGTGCATAACTGCAGTAGCCTCTCAAACCTTTCTGTCATGGTCAAATCGCAGGCTGCTCTAACATGCAAAGTTTCTGCACTTCCCTGTAGTGTCGAAGATTGCACACCTCTTCCTGCATATTCTCACAGGCGAGCAAGGCATAGTGAAGGTCAGTAGGAATGTTTGGGGATATGGCTAAGCAACACGTTCTGGCATTCCCCAGAATTGTCTATGCTTTGCCTGTCAGAACAGTCAGCATTCATGTGTGACAGGTAGGTTTGGGACGTTGCTGCAGGTATGTATTCTAGATCAGTGAAGATCAACTTACTTGATATAAGGGGCCTCAGGTGCGGCCCCTGACATCACCAAAAAGCCACACATAGTATTCGGTGAAGTTAATGCTAGAGAAAGCTCCAGAGACTGCAGATATGCAACAATAGACGGTCAGAGACTATTGGCATGCTAGAAGAGACTGCAGACATGCTATAGGTGTTGTTGAAAACTGCAGATATGCTTCAGGAGACAGATAAAAGCTGAATAAATATTACATAACAATGCTAGAGATCACTGCTATTGCTGTCCTTTTTTAAATCAAAGTTTCAAAAAAAAAAAAAAGCCAACTCCAAGAAGACCACCAATGAATGCATCTGTGTATTCATTAAAATAATTTAATTTATATTTGAATGCAACTAGTGTAGATATCTGCAGTTGCCGTGTAATACCTTATACAGCAGCATTAAGACTGGGTGAGGGAGAAGCAGAACAATTATCCAAGCTGAGCAGAATCCCCATTCATGCCAATCAGCTTAGTGTAAACATCTTATGTTTAGTGATATTTATAGCCAAAGGGCATTATAGAATGTACCTCTAGAGGTCAGTCAGATATTGCATGGAACATTTAGGATTGCCAGTATTTATGTTACAGGGATTTCGTAGCAGAGAAGAAATATCTCAGGATACCTTTTTATTGAGGTAAAAGAGCCAGGCAACATTATTGAAATGGAAATTGATGGCTAGGAAACTAACAAAAACTTTGAAGAATTCCTTAATATGTAGTTGTTAGTACCTGGGTTGTATAATATACCTCTGCTGTAGAATGTACCATCACAGGTCAGTCAGATATCACAAGGACAGTTTAATATTGACAGTATTTAGGTGACAGGGATCTCGAAGCAAAGAAGTATCTCAGGATGCCTTTTTGTTGAGGTAAAAGATCAGTTAACTCTTCTTCACCAATTTATTTAGAGTTGAACATACCCAGAAGTGCTTAGCACCAAACAATTATATAAACAGAAAATAAATTAGCGAAAATATTTGCCTTACCATTAATTGTGCAAAATATATAACAAATTAAACAAACTATCTTAATATTTTTTTTACAGACATTTGTCCATTTCTTTACTTATTATGAAATATATTCATGGTATTTAAAAAAAAAACAATTTCCAAATGAAAAAAAGGCACAAAAAACATTTTGGTGCGTAGATCAGTTTAAAAAATACTGATGAGTAAACTGGTGCATAGCAAAACTTCAGTATTGTGTCTGGTCACTGTTTTGATTACCACTTGACGTGAAAATAATAAAGGAAGACTATAATGCTCTGATTCATAATTTTTATTCTAAAGTTTATAAATGTTGTGTTGTTTTTGTTTCTTTAGGTGTCAAGCCTTCTGTTCAGCCTGTTGACTTGTGTGAAGCTTACCATGATACAGGCATGTGCCTTGTGATAATAGGAAGCATGAATGCTTTGGAATCTTTCTTGCCCTGCTGTATCCTAGAAGTCTGAAATAAAACAACACAGAGAAGCAGAAATAGATTAAAGTGGAATGGTGCCCTAGTCAAGGTTTTCCCCCACCCCATCCCTTCAATTTACATTGATAAGGACTGCAACAGTCACAGAGAAACTGCTCAGTTGCATTCTCTGTACTGTCATAGCTGGCACCATCAGACACACATTGCCTACAAGTGCATCCTCCCATGTGGAGTGACCAGCAGGTGCTCAGCTTTGACCAAATGCTCTATTCTCAGGTTTACTGTAGGGGCACAAAGCTTGTAGCTGGGACTCCAAGACATCCGTCAGGCCCTAGGCTTCTGCCTAGGTTATCTTGTGGATAATCCAGTTTATCATGAAAGACATTTTAGAAACAAAAATACACTTTAAATGGAACTCTACATAAGCATTAACATCTTCCCACTGGCGTAACACATACAGCCATGGGAAAAAGAAAGTACACCCTATTTGAATTCTATGGTTTTAGGTATCAGGACATAATACAAATCATCTGGTCCCTAGCAGGTCTAAAAATTAGGTAAATACAACCTAAGATGAACAACAACACGTGACATATTAAACCGTGTCATTTTTTATTTTACAAACAGAAAGCCGAAATGGAGCCAAAATGTATGTGTGAAGAACTAAGTACACCCTTATGGTTTCCATAGGAATTTAGAGGCTAAGTAGAAGCCAGGTGCTGCTAATCAAATGCCCTTGATTAACTAATCATCAGCAAGTGTGACCACCTCTATAAAAGCCAACATTTTGGCACTTTGGTGGTCTGGAGCATTCAGATGTGTGTTAGCACAATACCAAGCAGGCAAGACATCAGCAATGATCTTAGAGAAGCAAGTCCATCATTTTAAAGTGCGGAAGATTATTCACAAGTGGAAAACATTCAAGATAGTTACCAATCTTCCCAGGAGTTGACATCCCAGTAAATTCACCCCAAGGTCAGACCAAGCAATGATTGGAGAAATTGCAAAAAACCCAAGAGTTACATCTCAGACTCTAAATGCATACGTTAGCATGTTAAATGTTAAAGTTGATGAGAGTACAATTAAAAACAACTGAACAAGTATGGTTTGTTTGGAAGGGTTGCCAAGAGAAAGCCTCTTCTCTCTAATAAGAACATGGCAGCATGGCTTGGGTTTGCAAAGTTGCATCTGAACAAAGCACAAGGCCTCTGGAACAATGTCCTTCGGACAGAAGAGACCAAAGTGGAGTTGTTTGGCCACAATGCGCAGCACCACGTTTGGCAAAACGCAAACAGCATATCAGCACAAACACCTCATACTAACCGTCAGTGGAGGGGTGATGATTTGGGCTTGTTTTGCAGCCACAGGACCTGGGCACCTTGCAGTCATTGAGTCAACCATGAACTCCTCTGTATACCAAAGTATTATAAGGTCAAATGTGAGGTCATCTGCCCGACTGCTTTGCCGAAATTAGGTCATGCAGCAGGACAATGATCCCAACTCCACCAGCAAATCTACAACAGAATGGCTGAAAAATAAAAGAATCAGGTGTTGCCATGGCCCAGTCAAAGTCCAGACCTCAATCCGATTGAAATGTTGTGGCAGGACCTCAAGAGAGCTGTGCATAAACAAAGGCCCGCATTCCTCCATGAACTGAAGAAACATTGTAAAGTACAGTGGGTCAAAATTTCTCCACAACAATGTGAGAGATTGATAATGTCATACAGAAAACTATTACTTCAAGTAATTGCTGCTAAAAGTGGTTTGACAAGATATTGAATCTTAAGGTGTTTGTAACACATGGCTTCTCCATTTTGGCTTTATGCTTGTAAAATAAATAATGACATGGTGTAATATGTTATGAGTTGTTGTTCATCTGAGGTTGTATTTACCTAATTTTAAGACCTGCTGAGGACCAGATATTTGTTTTATGCCCTGATACTTAAAAACCATAGAATTCAACTTTCTTTTTCACATGGCTGTATATGAGAAAGAACGTTGGGTGGTCGTTAATGCCGAGTTGCTGCATATATGTTGCTGCTGCCTTCACCTCCCTCTCTATCCCTCTCCTCTTTTGAAACCCACTGTATTCGCCTCTTCTCTCCAATTTCTTTGAGGATTGCTGTTATAACATCAAAAAAGACAAAGCCGCACTCTGGAGCGACTGTGGCAGAAAACCTGGTCTCTGCAAGACTTTACCCTGTACAAAGCTGCCCTGATAAAATATAACTCCTCCCTCAGTGCTGCCGAACAAACTTATTTTGTCACTCTCATTAACACACTCTCATCCAGACCTCGTCAACTCTTTTCTACCTTCAAGTCTCTACTATGTCCTCCGCCACCACCACCACCCACTAACTCACTCACTGCCCAGGACATTGCCATTCATTTCAAAAACAAAATAGATGCTATTCGAGATCAGATCGCCACTGTCCAATCAACTGCCCCTTTTATTAAGTACCTGATCCTCCATCACACTTGTTACTTTCCTCTTTTGACCCTGTCACCACAGAGGAGGTTACTAAGCTTCTCTCGGACACCCACCTCGCCACTTGCCCCCTAGACCCTGTTCCCTCAAAACTACTTTGGTCACCCTCTTGCTCTATCCTAGACTCTCTTACCCACATTTTCAATCTTTCCCTCTCTACTGGAATCTTTCCTACGCCTCTCAAACATGCACTAGTCACCCCAATACCCAAAAAACCTTCACTGGACCCTACCAACCTCAATAATTTCAGACCTATCTCCTTACTCCCATTCACCTCTAAACTACTAGAATGCCTTATCTACAACCGCCTGGGTTGCCACCTCGCTAATAACAACCTTTTGGACCCCTTTCAGTCCGGGTTTCGCCCCCCAAACACTCCACTGAAACCGACCTCCTAAAACTCACCTTCATCCTTGACTCGGACCTCACCGTTCTTCCCCACATCCAATAGCTATCCAAATCCTGCCGCCGTCACCTTCGTAACATCTGAAAAATACGCCCCATCCTCACCAAAGAAACCGCAAAACTACTTATCCACTCCCTTGTTATCTCTCGTCTTGACTAGTGTAACTCCCTCCTCATTGGCCTTCCACTACACAGGCTATCCCCCCTTCAGTCTATCATGAATGCAGCTGCCAGACTCATTCACCTTACCAACCGCTCAGTGTCTGCATCCCCCCTCTGCCAATCCCTACACTGGCTTCCACTCGCCGAGAGGATAAAATTCAAAATATTAACAGTCACGTATAAAGCCATCCACAACTCTGCCCCCGGATATATCTCAGACCTTGTCTCAAAGTATTACCCTAACCCTCCCCTCCGCTCATCAATTGACCTCCTGCTTTCCAGCTTCCTTGTCCACTCCTCCCATATTCGCCTCCAGGACTTCTCTAGAGTCTCTCCCATCCTCTGGAACTCTTTACCCCAACCTGTACGTCTATCTCCCACCTTGACTGCCTTTAGGCATTCCCTAAAGACTTATCTCTTCAGGGAAGCCTATCCCACCTCGACCTAACCACTGAACCTTCACATTCTCAAATAATTCATCCCCACACAGCTCCCTCCTTATGTATAATTTCACCCTCCTCTTTCAGATTGTAAGCCCTCAGGGGCAGGGCCCTCCTTACCATCTTGTATTGTATTGTAACTGTAATGTCTTCCTTATATTGTAAAGCGCTGCGCAAACTGTTATCGCTATATAAATCCTGTATAATAATAATAATATATGTGCTCAGCCATCTCCACTGTTTTGTGCTGAGAGAATGGTCACTTGGCGCTCCACCATAGTGACTAATTTGTCACAGACAGCTCTCATTCTCAGTAGGACTTATTTAATTGGCACTTACCTACAAGGACAGTCTTGCTATCTACAGTTGTAGCATATTTATAAAGTGTCAGAGCAAAGGTTGAAAGCTGTTTTGTATGACTAAAACAGGTTAAGGTTCAACAAGAAAACAAAACATAAAGTAATATAATATCTCCCTGTTGTTTTATACCAATTATATACAGATACTTCTTAACTGGGGTTATTTTCACTTAATTGGCATTACATGTTTACCCATAAATGTGTCCCCCCTCCAATCTACCGATAGATAAATGACAAAGGTGCTCTCTGTCTGAGGTGTGTGCCTCACATAATTCTGCACCTCTCCATTCCAGTCATATTTGTCTTTCATCCCAAAACTTTGCATCATTCAACACGAAATTCCTAGCAATCTTTTTAACTAAAGATTCAGAAGATTGATACACATTATGTCAAGGGATGTGCTTTTCATTCATCAGTGTCCATTTCTGTTTCTACTGTTTACTAAGGGCTCAACACGTGTCAATCACCAGGCCCATACCATGCTACCTTTAAAGCAGGCAATGATATTATGTAACACAATCATAGAGGTGAGAGGTTGTACGAAGACATCGCAATCTATGGAGAGAGGTGAATTGGTTTAGGGTCAGATTACAGGCAAAATGCAGTATAATATGGTGTATGAAAGCCAGCTACAAAAATGCTTCTGCTGAGATCATATAAAATCCCTATAAAGGTTTCCTCTGCAGCTCCCCTTGCTCACTGAAATATGTCCCTTGTCTAGCCCATCAGCCCACGAGTATACACACCGGTAAAATAACTGAACTATTTGGTATTTAGGGATTTTGCTATGCAGCATATGTTATGTAAGATGGCACTGAAAGCAACACAATTTCAGATGGTAGTTTTCTCCTATGGCACTAGTAAATAGAAAATAAGCCGTGTGTTGGAAAACTTCGACTAATCTAAAACACATTTATCATAATAATTATTGCCATTCTGTTCTGACTAATGTCAAAAATGTAAAAAATGTGTCAGTCATTTATGAACAGAACCTGAAAACTAGCTCAGTCATGAAGGGGTTAAACCCTCTTCTGTGCAACTGCAAACATTTCAGCTTACGTTATTACCTCTGATCTGAGCGTACAACATACATATTCAAT